TTTAAACATTTCTTGCATATTTTTTTAGACCTGCAGTTCTTACGAAACCATAAGGACCGATTTGTCTATATGATTATCTTCCTTTTTAAACTTGTTGCTTGCTTCTAAAGTTTAGATTTCTATTTAAGTCCTCAATAAAATAATGAAACTGTTGGCCATTCTTCCCGCTTTGAATCTATAATCGATTTCTTTATTTCTTAAGATGGGGGATATATTGGCCGGCGACGGCGAGGTACCGAAGCTTCCGATTCCCGGCAAACGAAACATACTAATTACCAGTGCTCTTCCTTACGTCAACAACGTTCCTCACCTTGGGAATATCATCGGCTGTAAGTACAGTTGCAGGTGTCGGCTGTTTAACTGTAAAATTATGATCGGTTAATACTTAATTGTCAATTGCATTTCTTGTTAATACCTAGGTGTGTTGAGTGCCGATGTGTTTGCTCGGTATTGTCGACTGAGGGGGTATAACGCTGTATACATTTGCGGAACTGATGAATATGGAACGGCAACTGAGACCAAAGCATTGCAAGAAAATTGCACCCCCAAAGAAATATGCGATAGGTAATTACGTTTCTATGTTTCGTGTTATCTGAATTTTGTAATGAATTTCACGAAACGATCTCAGTTTGAATGTAACGTTACAAGGTTTTGTGACGAACAGTTGATTTTGGATTCTAAAATTCTAGTTCTACTATAAAAACATCGATTCTTATTCTTATCGTTTTATTTTCCTTTCTAGATATCATGCGATTCACAGGGATGTCTATAATTGGTTTAACATAATTTTTGATGAATTTGGACGAACTTCAACCCCACAACAAACCGAAGTTTGTCAAGCAATCTTTAAAAAGTTAATGGAGAACAAATGCCTTTCTGAGAACACAATGCAGCAGGTATACACATACATTTTTGTTTGTATTCAACTTGTTCCAAACTGATAGAAACCCTGGCAATCTTTCTGCAATATTTTTTGTTCTATAATGTGGAGATATATTATATATACTAAGTTATGTATATATATTACACTGCAGCTTTACTGTGATACATGTCAGAAATTTTTAGCTGACCGACTTGTTGAAGGGACCTGCCCGAACAAAACATGCAATTATGACTCTGCCCGAGGAGATCAATGTGAAAGTTGCAGTAAACTGTTGAATCCAATAGAACTCATTAATCCAAGATGCAAGGTAAATTGCTCCCTTATATGAACAAGAAAACAAGTGCTAAGTTTCATGTAGTGAATAAATCAAAACAAAATATATGTATCCTCATCCTCTTGTACATATTTTGCTTTCTATTGCTTTTTATAGGTCTGTCTATCCAGTCCTTGTATCCGTGACACAGATCACTTGTTTCTTGAGCTTCCATTGTTGGAGGGTAAACTTAAAGAGTACATCAGCAACATCTCAGTGTCTGGATCATGGAGTCAGAATGCTATTCAAGCAACAAATGCATGGTTTAAAACAGGATTAAAGCAACGATGTATTACTAGAGATTTGAAGTGGGGGGTTCCTGTTCCTCATGAGAGATTCAATGACAAAGTGAGTGAAATGAGTTGTTTCTCTCTATTATAAAGTCAAAATGAAACCTCCATCTTATGTCTCACATAGAAGTATAGTTTTACAATTTGTTCTACTGTGTGTAATGGTTAGGTTTTCTATGTTTGGTTTGATGCACCAATTGGGTATGTCTCAATCACTTCATGTTACACACCTGAGTGGGAGAAGTGGTGGAAGAATCCTGAAAATGTGGAGTTGTATCAGTTTATGGGAAAAGATAATGTACCCTTCCATACTGTAAGTTCTTTTTCTTCAAGTACTTGACCATTTTAGTACTATCGCATTAGGTTCTTATGCAAATAAAACCTTTTAAATCTTATGATCATATATATATATATATATATATATATATATATATATATATATATATATATATATATATATATNNNATATTTTTTTCCTCATTGAGTTTGAAAACAATTCTTTCAGGTAATGTTCCCTTCTACACTTCTTGGAACTTCTGAGAACTGGACTTTGATGAAGACTATCAGTGTTACAGAGTATCTAAACTATGAAGGAGGTTTGTTCTATGCTTCTATTCAACCCCACAAGCTATGCTTTCCATGATGAACAAATCCCATTTCTTGTTTTTTTTTCTTTCTTTTTAAGTTTTGGGGTGTCATGTCTAGGTAAGTTTTCAAAGAGCAAGGGTGTAGGAGTCTTTGGTAATGATGCACAGGATACAAATATTCCAGTAGAAGTGTGGCGATACTATTTGCTAACTAATAGACCAGAGGTATAACTTTTAATTAGTGTATCATTAAAAATGTGATCTCTCACTTTTTTTTTTTCCTTCTTTTGTTCTCTTTCATTCATTATTAGGTATCAGACACATTATTCACATGGACAGATCTTCAAGCAAAGCTAAACACTGAGTTGCTAAGTAATTTAGGCAATTTCATTAACCGTGTTTTGAGCTTCATTGCTAAAGATCCAGGTTAGTAATTAGCCCCAGTTTAACCTAAATTAATGGGATTAAGAGTTTAAGGATGCAGTTTATTATTTTCTACTTTCTTTTTGTCAATTCATGCCCTAAACCCTAAACTCTAAACCCTAAATGCTAGGTTCTAGAGTTGTGTAATAGCAGACTACCCTTTCTTTTCTTGCACTACTATCTTATCTTTTTTTACCTAAAAGTGGTATGAAGTTATTAGTGTACATGAGGAATATTTTCATATCATGTTGAAGATTATTGGTGTTTTTTTTTAATTCAATCTGAAAAGTATCCTGCTACAATTCCATTGACAGATTCAAGAACTGGTAGAGGTTCAGGATACAATTCCATAATTCCAGATGCTCCAGGTGCTGAGACACATCTGTTATCAAAAACACTAGGAGATAAAATTGGTACTTATGTTGAACAATATGTTGAGGCCATGGAGAAGGTAATTCTTGATACAAGAACATTCTAGATATTCTGAAATGACTCCTCATTGGAATATGTATGTATTTTACAAATTGAGATATAGGTTAAGCTAAAGCAAGGATTGAAAATTGCAATGAGTATATCTGGTGAGGGCAACGCGTATCTACAAGTAAGTCTACAAAAAAAAGGGACAACCAAACATGGTAATGGAATGTAACAATCCATTCCATTACATTGTTGTGATTCCATTCCATCATACCAAATAAATTGTAGTTCAGACATTGGTTAAGACTTAAGCATGCATGAATGGGTTTATTTATTAACTTGATGTAGGAAAGTAAATTCTGGAGGCTTTACAGAGAAGACCTACCTTCATGTTCCATAGTAATGAAAACTTCAGTGGGAGTAGTTTATCTTCTTGCTTGCCTGTTAGAGCCTTTTATGCCATCATTTTCCATCCAGGTAAGTCATTTTACACTTTTTTTTTTCTGGAATGGAAAATTACATCCTTACCCTTACAATCATCCTTCCAATTTGTCTGCTACAGGTACTGAAGCAGCTTTCTTTGCCCCACCAACTTTCCCTGTGTGATGAGAAAGGAGATGTAGAGAAGGCCAAAAGACCATGGGAGATGATACCTTCTGGCCACAGAATTGGGACCCCTGTGCCATTATTTAGAGAACTGGTATATAAATAGATATATTTTTTTTATAATTATTGAAAATATAGATGAGGAAGCTTATTGTTTTTGCATATGTGTGATTCTTGTGCAGAGAGATGAAGAGGTGGAGTTGTTGAGGGAAAGGTTTGCAGGAAGTCAAGCTGATCGAGCAGATAGGTAAACATAATTCTTATTATTATTAACTACAACAAAATTATATTGCCAAAAATTGGACTGGGATTTAGGAGGGGTGTTACTTTTAAAAAGACTGATTTTCAGATTCAGTTTGGTTTTTCTTGATATAAAAACAGGAAAAATAATAGCATGCATAATTTAAGTGATTAAGCATATTAACTAATATGTTTTTATGGTATTTTCCTTGACAATTAAAATGTATTTACTTGGTATATACTATATAATATAGCCTACTTCCTGGTTGAATTAAAGTAAACAAAATTTTTAAACAGACTTGTACTCGGGTTTGTGGAGTAAGAAGCAAGTTAATCATTGAATCGGGTATCTTTAATATATGAAAATTTTGATATTCTTTTTGTAAGGTAAAATTAAAAAGAAAAAAATGATGGGCGTTTATATAAAAATGTTAGGCTTTGACAAATTATAAATGATATTTATGAGTGATGGTAGAAATATGTTCCTATACAATGAAAAATACCATAGCTTTTCAAGTAGTGTAAAATGGGGTGAATTATACCCAAAAAGCTATATATGTGCACTGTGATTGTGGTATTTTATTAGGGTACTAAAAACATAAGAAATAGCTATGTACTTTTGTTGAAAAGTCTGCCTAATGATAGCAACATCATCCAAATACAAAGCACAATTGTCAAAAGTATATAATTAATGTCCTCATACAAAAAAATTGAAATTAAAAATCTATAATTAGTTAAATAGAGTTTTCAAAGTACAATGCCTTAATAAGAAAAATGAAGGTTTAGTGATGTAATATGATTTTATACAAATAACTGAAAGTATATTGCTAATTCTTGCATTTAGCCCATCTTTTTCCGTATTGGTTGATTAGAGAGAGCTATATTTATTTGAGATTGTAGCTTACTCTTATTATAATACTCTTGCAGATAATAATAATAATGGAAAGAAAGAATTTACAACTCCCCCCCTGTGGTTTGTCAAAAGTTATGCTTTTTGTCCAATTGTTGCTGCATGTTTGTCATGGACCGTTTCCCCTTGTCTTCTTTTCCATGGCTGCCGCTCTCAAGGGCAAAATGGTCATTAACCGTTAAATTAAATGGTAACAAAATGATGCTTTAGGGGTGTCATCTGGTGTGCAACAGATCGAACAGATGGATGAAAACAATAACTTTTGACATACCACATGGACAAAAGTGTAATTTCTTAATATGTTAGGGTGATGGCTAATTATCATGCTTGTTTTTATAAATTATAATTACAGGTTTGATTATTTGGAGTGAGAATTAGTTAATGGGAAGCCTGATGATGTATTAAACCCTAAAAAGAAGGTTTGGGAGACACTACAAGTGGATTTACATTCAGACAAATAAAGATTTGCCATTTACAATATCTGGAAGGTTTCATCCATTTCTGATGGATCAATACGATGAAGATAATTCAGTTCTTTTTTTTTTAAAGCAATCTGATGACAGAGTACTGATATGAAAGGGTATGGCATTTTTTATTATTAAGGATTCGATGTTGTCCCTTCTGATAGGGTGTAGTTATAAATAATCCCCTAACTGGATAATTTTTTTTAATGAAGACTCTTGAATAAAGTAAAAAAAAAAAAAAAAAAAAAACGAAGGCAAAATATTGGAGATTGGAGAAGACAACGAGACTTCAACATTATTAGTACATTACTACACTTGGTATAGGGGTATATCCGTATATGTATATATTTGTGGTTGTTATGTTAGTTACATATTGATTAGTCAAGCTAAGTCGTTTAACTGTTAGAAGTTAATTTGGTTGTTAGGTGCAGGTTAGCATCAGCTGTGTAGTTTATGTATGTATATATGTTTTGCAGATAGTATTGATTCAGTAATGAGAATAATACTTTCATCTCTATTTCTTTCCTCCTTTCATTTCTTCGTATGTAATATGGTATCATAGCAATGTTTTTGGCTTCCAATTTTCTATTGTTGATCTTTTCTTTTTTTTCGGTTTGTCAATTGAATTTCTTTTTACCATGCTAATTCCAATTCTTCAAACACCTTGAATGCTTCCACGGATCAAAATACATCTGATGATCCATATTGTCTTTAACATTATGATAATCCTGGAACTATTCTCGTGTGTCAAATTTCAACAGGAGTGAATTATGCTTCGTGGAGTTGTTCCATGAAAATTTCATTGTTTGCTAAAAACAAGCTCGATTTTAACAGGAGGGAAATTATGCTTTGTGGAGAGATTTTGCTAGTAACTACTATAAAAAATTAAAGATGCTTTAGGAAGAACTATCAAATTACAATACTTATTGCACTTCTGATAAATGTATTTGTTAAGAAGCTAGGAGATTAAACACACTACGAGTTTTCTAATGGGGATCAATGATAGTTATGCACAAATTCGAGGTTACTTCCCTTCGAAGGATCCAATTCCATTTGTTAATAGTAACTTTTCATTCATCATATAAGAAAGGCAATATGATCAGTGCAATTCAACCATCCAATTATGCAAGGACGTTTAAGTATTCGAACCAATAAGAATAGCAATAATTTAACTGCACACTAGGTGACATCATTTGTCTTAGTGAAAGTAAATTTTCCAATTTAGTGGAGGATTGTTGGAAATTTAATGGAATTATAACAAGTTGGCAATTTTTCATTATCTCTCATGGTGGGAGGAGGAACTAAAAGTGTGTTTATAAGCATTTTCTCTTGTTAGGCTTTCAAATGCTTTAATGTAGGAAAAGAGATGGGCCAAGCCCACACACATGCCTAGCCAGGCCGTGGACACGAGTTCACGAAATGACACAACTTAGGCGCACTTTGCATGCCGCATCAGTCGTTGGGAGCCGATGAACTTTTATTTTGGCAAGTTCGAGTCGGATCGATTAGACTGACCAGGTCAACGTCTTAACTAATATTAACTTCGTGGATAAGCAGGCGAAATATCTTTGTATGTGCCACATTAAGAACTCCCTTTATGATTGCCTCTATGACCTGTACGTGTTGGTCAAAAATGTGCGAGTACAAGGCACATAAGGAAGATATTAACAAGTACCTTGTCGCCAAGTACCTTGTCGCCAAGTACCTTGTCGCCAAGTACCTTGTCGCCAAGTACCTGGACCTCCAAATGGTTAATGAAAGACCCATCTTGGAGCAAGTGCATGAGCTCCAGGTGTTATTCAATAAACCAACCACACTTTCCATCTCTTTACCAGAACTATTCCAAGTAGGCACAATCATTGCAAAGTTGTCTCCTTCCCGAAAGACTTCTCAAAGAGGATGATGAACAAATATGAGGATTACACCTTCGATGATATGTTAAAGCACCTCCAAATCGATGAGGAAACTTACAACAAAGACAAGCATGCTAAATTTTGATCGACTATGCACCATATATATGGTAGGGGTTCTAGTCAATAAGAGAAGAATGGGTTCAAAAACAAGAAAGACTTGACACCTAAGAAGAGGGAGTTCAAGAAGCCTAATTATCAGCAAATCTACAACCAACAAAAGAGAACCAGAAAGTGTCACATACGCGAAGAGACCAGTCACTATGCATAAGAGTTCCCCATATAGAAATTTGGTCCTATAAACATATTTGTATATAATTGTTAAGGATCTTACCAACTTGGTAAAAAAGTATAGGTCTTAGAGGAGTCAACATGATTTCTTCACTTACACTAGTAGTGGCAGCTTGAGGCTGGTTTATGGATTATGGAGTTATAGTTCATGTATGCGGAAATGAGTCGATCTTTCATACTTATAGTCTCGTATATGAAGGAACTATGGTGGTATGTGTTGATGGTCACAGAGTGGTAGTCTACGATATTGGCAGAATGGTGATGAAGATTCGAAATGGTTATAGAGGTACTCTTTGAGATATGTTACATGTTCGTAGAATCTCGAAGGGACTCATGTCAGCGAACAAGTTTGACAAGAACTGGTACAAGTTGGTGATTAAGAATGGTTGTGTGGAGTTCACTCGAAATGACTTCTGTTGTAACATCCATTTTGTGAGGTATTATATTTCTTGGCATTTTTGGTTAAGTGTTGATTGTTAAAGATGGAAGGGGCTTATTACGCTGGGCGTAATATGAGTACGCACGATGTACTCACCTAACTTGGACGCAGGGGGGCATCTTCGTACGTTGGTCGTACGTTGTGATTCAGCAAACCCTAATTTTTAGGGTTTAACCCCTATATAATCCCCATTATGAGGCTTGAGGCTGCCCCCTCATCAGCCTCCTTCCCTCATTAGCCCTCCCACGAAACCCTAGCTTCCATTTAAGTGTTTTGAGCTTAAAAGTGACATTGGTTGGTGTTCTTGGTGATCTTGAAGAAGGAAGGATCTCTTGAAAGTTGCTATTGTGGTGTTAAAGCTTGTGGATCCAGAACTTAGCCACCTTGATCATTCTTCAAAAGGCATCAAGTCCTTACCTTGATGATTCATCTCTTAGTTCTAGATAGTTAGGGTTTTTGGCTTGTTTTGGTCCCTTAAGGTATTTCTTGAGAGGATAAGATACTCCAGAAGGTTATGATGATAGATCTTAGTGTTTCTGATGTCCCTTATGCATAAAAATGGTGTCTTGATGGATTAAGCTCAACCATGCAAGGGTTGAGGGTTGTTTCATGAAGTTAGTATGTCAAAATCCAATATTTGACCTTTTAAGCCATGCAAAAGCTTAAAGTCTTCGAATTTATGGTTTAAGACCTTGTTCTCATGTTGACTTGAAGTTTGGACGCTATGAGTTTAATGAGTTAAGTCATTTGGAGTGGGTTTGGTTGTCTGACCAGTATGTCGGGCGTACGACTGAGTACGCTGCGCGTACTGGGCCAACACCCCGATTCTGGATCAGCCAAGTACGCTGGGCGTACGAGCCAAGTACGTCATGCGTACGACCGTCTGTGGGCTTTTGGATTTTTGGGCTCGGGTTTAGTTGGGCTCCTGGTTGTTGAGTTTAGGCCTTGGACTTTTTTTATGGCATTGGATCATTTATGGGCCTTAGGCTATCTTGGAACTCTTGGGCCTATGTGTTGGGTTTTTGTATACTACAACATCCTATGGTGCACATACAACCCTAAATGCTTTGGATCTATGTTTT